ACATACGCTCATAGACGCGCCGAAATCTCCTATCGATGACCTCATCACGATCACCTCACCCTTCAACTACAGAGAATATATTTTCATTTTCCTTTTCCAATAGCTTATGTTTGCATTAAATTTCTCATAGCATCAAAAGTCCACGCGAGACCAAATTTTATAGTTTTTCCTTCTGGACTTTCCTCCACATTCAAAAATACTCAAAGCAAATAAGATAAAAAGACACCAACCTAAGCTTGACATCAAACTTGTAGCCTTTTGAAGGAAATGGAGCATTAGTTAAGGTGCCTGATGGAGTATCAACTATAATCTGATTCAATTTAATCACACTAGCCACGGTCTGCAATTTGAAGTTGGAACTCTGAAAGAAAACTGTTGAAAGTAACTTTATATAAAGCTTGGTAACATTATGGTAGAAAAATCCAAGTAGGGTGATTAAAATTTAAAACATAACTGCTTGAAGGAAAAATGCATGCAATTATTTACCTTGAGTTCGACCTACAGCAGACGCATGAGCTTCTCCAGTAATTTTATTTAGAGACAAAACACTTTCATTGCTGCAAAACCACTGACCTGGTAGAAGACCATCTTTCCTTGCATGAAAACAAATAATTTATTAGATAATGGACAACGTTAACAACTTTTTTAGATGTTAAATAAGTAACGAATAGCCAAATAAATGTAAGTTGAAGTAAATATCTCACCAATCACGTAGCTTTCTCTCTGTATTTTGTATAATAAAATCTAATCTTGACATATAGTCCTAACTGATCTTTCGTAACCCTCTCAAGACAAATTGAAATCAATTTTGTGAAACAATTTGTGAAAAAGAAAAAAAAGATTGTTGCAAGAGAATATATATGAAGCGATTTCAAACATAAAGTTTACATGCGTTAATTTTACTATATCCCTCTCTTTCTCTTCGAAAGAACATTTTACTGCATTTATATATATTTTTCTCCTGTTAAAAAAAAAACCAAGCAATTAACTATCTTTCATATAACCATTACTGATTTTTGGAAAGGGATATGATTATAACGAAATTTGATTTAATAGTCATTAAGCACAAAATCGTTACCAAAGACATGCCTATACAATGAACAAGCAATACAATAAAGATTAGAATTAAAGTTGGTGAATAATGCACAAATAATGAAATGCAGATCCCTCAAATGAAGCCCAGATACCAGAACAGTCCTCAAATCCAATTGCATGCCAGGCAAGCTTGCAATTAGGATTTACTTCTCATTTTTCTGCTTCTTTTAATATGTTTTTAGCTTTTCTGGTTATATCAGCTGCTAGTCAGTACTTATGCAAATTTGCTTTTGATTTGAATTTTATCTGTAAATATTCATGACCCTTATTCTAACAAAGGAAATCATGGACATTGCCTGGATTAGATTAGATTTGGAAGATGGACAAAATTGCAATATTCTTTGATTTCAAAATTGTAATTACAAAAAGAAAGAATCTCCAATTTAGAAGAGGGATTTTGCCATCTAAAAAAAAAAGAAAAGCAATCAAAAGGAGATCATGGTGGATATTTGTATGAAATATGTCTTTTATGCAATACTCCCTTGAATAGAAGTGGGATTTTTTTTGTATAAGCTATGTTTTCATGATAATATTATCTAAAAAAATGTAACTTTTGATTACACATTTATTACATAATTATAATCTAGAAAAGGAAGATGATGACAGTACCAGTCAGATAGCAACTTGAAAAGCTAATGTTACATCAACACTCTCAGTGTACAATGTACTCTTCATAAAGAGTTAACTATCATGAGCTGGTGTTCGTGGAGGTGACAGGTGAAACAAACTCCGCTCTCAATACAACAATAAGAATAAAAGAACTATGGTGTATAGGAGGTGGAGGTCAACAAAATGATAAAAAAAAAAATGTGAATGATGAGGACATCGAAGATCAACGGCTACGATCGTGTCTATTTATTTTATATTTTATGTATTTGATTTGTTATTATACTTTTCCATATCTACCCTCACTTGAGGGCTTTGTCTTATGCTTGCCCTAGGGGCAATTGTGTCTTTTATTTTCCTTCATGTATTTGGCTATTTAAGCCTTCTCCCTCCTCTTGGAGAGGGGATGATGAATATTGAAATGAAATCTTATTTTTCTTTGCTTTATCTCTAAGTGAGTTCATGGGAGGAGAGACCCAAGGTGTGGGCAATCGCAATACCCGTCAACCTTTGGAAGAGTCCAAGGTTCGCGGTTTTACGATCTCTTTGTGAGTTCGTTAGCTTACTTTTACCTTATTTTGTTGTCATCTCCTTTCTTCCCCACTCACTCCACCCCTTCCAACTTCCCCACCACCGGTGGCTCAACCTCCTCCACCCAATTCATCTTCTAGCTCCACCACCTAAATCCCACCCACCTACCTAGCCTCAACCCGCCATCTAGCCGCCCCCCTTCCCCCTTTGCCGCCGGCCACCATCATAATTTCCCCTCATTATGATGATTTCAATCACCATAATGACTTCCTAATTAGCTCAAGCATGAGAGGGAAAATTTGAATTCATTTGAAATTCAAATTCGAATTTCAAATTCTTTCCATATAGGGAATCCTAAATTAGGAAAGTATCATTCATGAACTCAATTTCAAAATAAATCAAATTGGATTTATTAGTCCCTTTTCTCAATTTCAAATTCAAATTTAAAAAAAAAAAAAAAAAAATAATGATATTACAACAATAATAAATGAATGACATGATAATTTGTCTACTTTATAATATAAAATATTTAGTACAAAATATCTAGTACAACCACAAAAATATAAGCAAATGATCACTTACTACAACATCAAACATTTAAGCTTCAACTAATAGGATTAGCTTTAGAGGTTTGTTTTTTGGCCTTCAATATCATCATTATTGAATATCACTACTTTCAACTCTGATTCAACAAGAGAAAGATTTGTAATTGTGCAAAAAGAGAGGAGATGAAAATACCTTCATTACCAAAGAGAAATGAAAATGAGAATATTCGATGAATGGGTATTAAATGCAGACGTTAATTTGATGTTGTGGATATGAAATAATAAATTTAGTTTAAATCTCGCCAAATATAAGAAATTTTATTTTAAAAAAATTATAAAATATTTAAGATACGAGTGTCCAATTTGTTTTTAATATTTTTTTAATTGGACACGTTTTCGGCGTGTCCGACAAGTGTCGGAGGAGTGTCGGACGAGTGTCGTGTCGGACAAGGTGTCGGACACTGCACGCCTCTTTGAGGAGAAGTGTCGGTGCATCATAGGTTGAAACCATCCATATATGCAACGTTAGATTAAATTGACTGTTTTCTGATTTTAACTTTTATGCACGTGATTCGTCCTAAGCTCATCTTACCGCTCTTAGTGTTTTATTGCGTCGTTAAATCCAACATTAAGATATAATTCTTTGTTCCAGGAATATTACGTGTGCAAATTCCTTAAAGCAATTCATCCATGCATGTATGTTTCACATCAGTGGAGTTATAATTGACTCAACTTTTGGGGAATTTAAGAGCTTCAAACGCATACTTCATGCAAGTGAATCGAATCACCAACATATGTAAGAGTTCCCTGAAAGTATTGAAATGGTAGGGGTGATAACACGAAGTCAACCTGCAAGGTTGATGATGGAGCAAGTAGAAATAAAAAGAATACGGAAACATATTGTATCTCCATCTCAAGATGACAAGGAATAACATAACCAGATGAGCGAAATACAGCTCAACAACATGCTTAGGTATTTTCTGAAGCTCAAGCTTAAGCACTATTTCAGAATAAATCTTTTCCACTTGATTAAGTCATTAAGAATAGAAGCCGACTCAAAACCATCATCAATATTGCTATGTAGGAATACAAGACAGCGTGAAAAATGATCCTTGGTTTGTGGAGGAAAATGCTTATTTTGCAGTTCACAAAAGGTTTGTTTTATTCTCTCGAGTGAAGCTAGTACGTATTGTCATTGTGTAGATGAGAGAATAAGCAGATTAAAATAAACTAAAGGATCAATAAACTTGTGGGGAGCTATTGCACCTATTATAAAGATGATAGGATGCATGATTTCTTACATAATTACAATAAGATCTGTATTAATGATGACGTCAAACAAATGAAACATAGGCTTCACCATTATCTTCAATTGCATGGTCATTGCCATAGGCATCAAAATAAAAATATGAGTAACTTGCATATCTTCATAATTAACATATTTTAAGAAATACTGCAACATATCCTCAAAATCAACAAGTCATATTTTGAAACCAATGGTGGTATAATCTCACCGTAGATAAAGAAGTCTTGATAACAAGCAATATGAAAGTTGATCAATTTCGGCCCCTATAAATCTTCAAGAAAAGTGTGGAAATAATTTGGATTTGTGGCTAGCATATTTTCATCTACAACAACTCAACAACATATGGATAGTAACTTTCCATCTACAACAATTCAACAATCTATGACCAAAAGCTTTTCAGTTACAGCAATCCAACAATCTATCATTAATTTTTCATCAACAAATTCAGCAATTCATAAACATCATCTCATTTTTTGTTGTGAAGTAAATTATAAATTTTATATCTGTCTCTCTATTTAAAGGAAAATTCTATAAGATGGTGGTTAGACCTGCAATGATTAATGGTGCATAATATTGGCCATTAAAAGAGAAGTATAATATTAAGTTAAGTGTTGCAGAGATGAGGATGCTCAAGTGGATGAGTGGTTTTACACTTAGAGATAGGATACGAAATGAGCATATACGTGAAAAGGTTGGAGTAGCTCTAGTGGAAGATAAGATTAGAGAGAGTCACCTTAGATGGTTTGTACACATAAAACGGCGGCCTTCCGATGACCCGGTTAGGAAAGTAGATGTATTAGATTTGACTTATGTTAACAAACGTAGAGGTAGAATTAAAAAGACATGGTTAGAAAATATTAGAAATGACCTTTCTTTATTAGATTTAAATGTGAATTTAACTTTTAACAGAGCACAATGGAGAAAAATGATTCATTTAGCCGACCCCAAATAGTGGGATAAAGGCATGATATTGTTGTTGTTGGTGGTGGTGTTGTTGTTGTATATATATATATACACCACTTAGAGATGGCCAGATGACAAGATCGTTCTGAACGATTGCCCAAGAGCATGAAAGGCAAACGTGCAAGAGATATCACAGAAGGGCGAACACAGGCAGGAGACTGTTCGAGATCATACACGCACGAGAAATCTAAGAAATTTAGACTATTTCTTGATTTATGTGTCATTCTAATTAGATGTCTTAGAAGACACTCAACCCTGGTTGCTTAACAAACACTTGGATAGTCACAAGATGGGGTCCCCAAATATTAAAGTAAACTAAGTCAAAAGGTGCACTACTACATGAAAACAAAGTCAAGAGAAAGTATATGTAATGATGTTTATCAAATTTACACATATCATATTCAAATTTTAAAAAGGAGGATGGTATATGGGTGAAGCCTTAAAGATAATGAAGACGATGCACAAATCAGGAAAAATTAATGATAAAACTGTGAAATAAAAAAGAAACAATAAAAAAAATATCAAAAACTTCAACACCATCA